GAGTTTGTCACGCGAGACGTGCGTGACGTCGGTACAGCGATTATCTAAGAGCAACATGCATTTCATTATTATCGCTGATTTATCTCGCTGTTATAATTTAGTTGTCCGGCCATTAGCAATTAAAGTACTCTCGTTTAATTAATCACGCTCTATTAATTATCGTGAAGCGCGGCTTGCGCTATTTATATCATAATTTTCCGAATAATGAACATTATAAATAGCTTTTGAAGTAGCTTTTTCCATCCTGGTGCATTGTAAATACCCGCATCACACATTTTTGTGACATAAATATTATCGCGAAACAGATAACGGAAGGCAGTTAGACTCCAACAGAGCTTAAAAAGATAACGATATATATGTAATTGTTTAAAAATAGACATGAGGACATTGAGTGGCGATTAAAAGGGAAGAAAGGGAAGGCCATCGGTGCACAAATCGAACAAGGTCGTGCAACAGGTTTTGCAAGGGGTAAAAATGGCGAAGCACGCAAGCTACTTAGTTAGAATCTCCCGAGTGCGCATTCGAAACGAGTGCCTTTCTTTAGTCTCTTTGTGTGAATAAAACGTTCGTTGGATTTACGATATACACTGAATATTTTCCTGAGTGCGCTCGTAACGCTCGTAACAAGAACATGGAGAAACGAGATGATAGCGCACATCTTATATTTATATGTTTTGCAAAATTAGCAAACGAGAAAACACATTTTACGTACAAAATATCTGTTGCCGCCGTTATTTTGTGGGCTTGTAAGACGGCCTCATTTTTAACCGCCGCTGTAAGGACAGCCTCGGGACGTTTATTTTGTTCCCAACGTTGTTTGCCTACGTTTAAGCTTGGAATTTTTTCCGAGACTCGTCGGCTTGTCCGCTGCACGATATTCTATGCACGATCACGTTCTCACTTATTTACGGATTCGGAGCCCGTTCGTGAACCAGAATGCGTTTCACACATTTGTACCTTTGATACCTTCCTAGCTTGTGACTGAAACAAAGGAAATATCGAATTTCTGTCGCGCTATATCGACTGTAACCACCTGCCGTTCGTAAGCTAATGCGTAAAATGGTACAAAATGGGATTTCGAACAAGAATTTATCTCACCCTTATAGTCTCGGCACGAGACAAAGCAAAGTCGAGGGCATTTACCTGAGAATCTCTCATTTTTATATTATCCCTAGCTAATACTTTTGTTACTAGCCTCATAAATAATTCTTGCTGATAGAAACTTTACGAGAGAGGAGGAAATGACGATACACACCGACAAAGATAATGCATGATACGAATGTGGTAGAGGAGGCAGTCAGTTAATTCCGATGTTGACATAATGCACCGGAAGGCGAGTAATCATGATTCATCACGCTTGCTATACTTATTTTATTGAAATCGATATTATCTTGCATGAGCTCTTGAACAACTTGTTTAAAAATTATGTCAATATTTTTGTGAAATAATCTTTTTATATTCAAAAAAAGAAAGCTTCTCTCTTTCGATTATTCAAACGTTACGCATAACATAGAAAAATTAAAATTTTGTAAGAGGATCTTTCGAAGCAACTCAATCTTATCATATATGGACAGATTTTTTTGCACATGGCCCGCTTGATGTCCACTTAAAAGGAAACTTATTTAGTACTCTAATAATAGGATACCAAGGCAGATAAGACAGGGTGACGGACAGCGAATCAGTTGCAAAGTGTCACGGACGCGACGCTGATGGGGTGTCACGGACACGTTACTTCCACCTCTTCCACCTACTTCCATGTACTACTACATTGAACGTGAACGAAAACCACTCGCAAGGTCGGAAATACGCTAAGGCGCGTGACAACGGTCAACCGGAAGTGACGCACGTGCTAGACCTCAAACATAGCGATCGAGAGCCACGCATACTTCACGGAAAGTTGCTGAGTGCTACTTTCTACTTTCAAAATCTTAACTGGAAGCAATAAGCCGCGCGTCGTTGCTACTTAAACTAAACATTGCGGTAAAATGTGGTAGAAAACATAAAAATTGCTTTAAAACTGGACGCGGATAGAAAGAAATGTCGAAACATTTTTTAAGCGACATATTGAAGTGATGATATAGATATTATAATCTAAACTTTCCAGAATACTTCAAATTCTTCAAAATTTGATGTGGTTATATAGAGAGAAATGTCGAAGTATTTTTAAAGCGATATATACGCAATATGGATATTCTAGAATGCAGTCTTTTTCTTTTCACGACGATTTACTTAATAATGCATAAATGCAACTACGTCGGTTCACCCAACATTATTTGAGAATTTCGTGACAAACAGATATGTGTAATGGAATAGGTCTTGCCAGATATGTTTTACATTGCGATATTGCGTGTCATACAATGATTTAATCGTAATATAATTACATTTGCAAATTGCTTTTTTTTCTCGAACAATGTAAATACGTAAATTGGTACTTGTGTATTACTCATATAAATTTTCAAAGGATTGAGGTAAATGTATTTTAAGTACTTTTTAAGTGCCAACGACGATTCTCTTTGCAAATGCAAAATGTACTTCTGTAAAAAATGTAAACATCCCTTTTTACCACGACGAATAACTAAATCTCTCATTATTAAATTTTTTCCTCACTTTTTGTATAAAATGCACCGCATAATTCACCACGTTGTCGGCATGCCGCGTTTAATCATCGCGCGGCAAATATCTCCAACCGCGAAGTGAATTTATTTCCTTCGAAGCACGAGGCAAACGAAATTCTCGCGTGCCTCAGCCACGTATTTTCCGATTATCTCTGCCAAGCCGGCATGCTATTCGTGCCTTCTTTGTACAATTAGGAGTTTTTGTCGTCGTCCGTGTCGACGTCAAGCGCGAGGGATAGGCCGCCTGTGGGGGGTATACGATTGAGAGAAACGAAGGGAAGGTGGGAAAAGAGACGTTGCGTTAGAGGGAGATAGAGCAGGGATCAATATGCACCTCACTGTCGCGAACGGTTGTAGGAAAAGATATTTCATCACTTTAGACCTGAATGGATGTTGAAAGATTCATCGTAATGTTATCAATAGTCCAAGCTGATCAAGTTGCTTTTGAGTTTTTGTTTATAGTGCGTGATTTATTAATAAGTTAAATGTCAAATTACATTAAGACTTATTGAGAAGCCAAGAAATTTATAATTTTCCTTTCTCACATCTCAAACAATTTCCCGTCATGCCAGTTACAAATGGATATTGATGACTGGCAAATTGTTCCTCCAACAACCTTAATCAATATCTGATTACTGCGATTTTTCCCCATGGTGCCGCTTTTTATATTCTATATACCACAGATTGATTTGCGTTCAATTCGTTGTAATATTCAATATTTAATAAAAGAAATTATATCTTGGGAATTTTAGCTAGCGATATTTTTCTTCTTACAAATAAAATTTTCCTATTGGATATTGGACGGTACGAACGGTATGGTATATTGGACATCATCTCCAGTGAGCTCTCTATTACGTGTCAACGACAGCGTTATAGGTTTACGGTGCGCTATCTTTCCCACGTCTGGGAACGCGTTGGCTCTCAGTATATATGTCGTGCACACACACACATATGCTGTCTGTCAGTAGTTCATAAAAATTCATAGCTATGAGTAGCCGCGAGTACAGCCATTTAAAATCAACATACCGTTTGCGTCATTTCCCACAACCATTATTTCAATCTTTCACATCCAACTGACAATGAGATATTTCTGATATCAACATAGATTGAGTCAATTTTTCTTCGATTCACAAAAACTTCGCGCACATATTGTTATGCCATAAATTTGACAAAATAATGTCTGAATGGCTTTCAAAAATTTTTATTTGAAACGATTTAGTGACTAAACGCGTGCTGTAGACACGCGGTTGAAAAAATGGACAAAAACGTTTGGTACAAGGGACTGGACGGTCGTGCATTCGCAAGTTAATGGCCAATATTTCGCGGTGGAGAAAGCGAAGCGCTGAACGGAGGTCGTGAGCCTCGTTAAAAGCCGTCCATAAACTTAGAGTTGTTTCACACTGTGGGAATCACGATATCGCGCGAGTATCAGACGTATCGAAACGAATAACCGTTACTATATGTGAGAGGGCACAAGCCTCTTGCTATCATAGGTATTATCTTTACATCGACGGAAATAAAAATAGATGAGGGATCGATGACGCGATAAATGACCCTCTTTCAGTTTCTTGATTATCTTTAAGGATGGAACCTTGAAATCCAAGATACATTGCTGATTTATAACGGTCCTTACTAACACGAGCTCGACTCACGGATCACGGTTACGACATTGCGTGGTGAGGCCGTAAAAGCATACAAGCGTCGAGATGAGTACGAAACAGTTAGACGTACGCATGTTCTCATAGAACCAGGTTGTTGCATAAGGACACCGCATAATCCAATTCTATGCAAACGTAATCGAGCCCCTTTATACCTTGCTCTATAATTAACTTACATGTACGCATGTGGATCAAATTATAAATTAATAACGCACATACACGCGGAGGAAAGGAAATTTGCCGTTGCAGCAGAATCGTGTTACTGCTACTTTATATTCGACGTGAAACGAATTAAATTTTCTATTAATTATTTGATATTACAATCCAAATTTATTTTCTTAGTAAAATAAAAAAAATTTACTGCGTAAATTTGTTCGCGAAAACGTAGATCTGCGGTAAACAAAAATTTAATTTGCTGACGAAATATTCTAGCAAATGTATTTTATTATTTTGCTGATGGAATAAAAATCAATTTGTTTCAGTGAAATAATCTAAAGTATCAGGAAAACTATTTTCAGTAAATTAAAATTAGTATTCTCTGAACATTTTTGCTGTCCAAGAATAGCAAAATTCAATACGATAGCATGATATACGTTTCATTAGTTTCTTTCCTTCGTGTACCAAACACATTGTTGATACAAATTTTATATTACTGCGGAAGTATTAATTACACAAATGATGATACGAGCGTGCGAATTAACGGCGGTTTCTGTGTGTTTCACCTTAGGTCACATACTCGGCCGATCTCGCGATCGAGATACCAGGCAATCTGAGCCAGGGTGGTTCCTGGTACCGTTTGGATTACAGCCCACCCGTCGGCTCTCCACCGCCGAACACCACCATAGCCGCCACTGACATCGGTGATGTCATAAAGTTCAGGGACGGTCTGCCTGGAACGAGATATGAGTACTGGCTGTACTATAGCAACAGCACTCTTCACGATTGGTTGACGTGGACCGCGTCAATCACAACACGTATGATAACCTGATTCTATTTAACGCGATAATTATCTTTAACAGTATGCTTTTTAAAGATATAACGATATAAAATTAAGTAGAACGCGTTTCATTAAATATGACTACTTGTTTTTGTAGCTATTATCATCTAAGTGCTTTACATGTGATTTTACTTTAATAATTAAAAGTAAATTTATAAATTAACGACCGTATGATTATAATTGCAAGCACAAAGTCACAGGCAAACAAACAGTTGCCTGATTTGCCGAGTCTTTCTGGAGAGTCAATTAATTTAATTTAATTTATTAGCACCCGATCCTCCGTCAAATTTGACGGTATCAGTGCGAAATGGAAAGACCGCGATCGTATATTGGTCACCTCCGGCCCAGGGGAATTATTCCGGTTTCCGGTTGCGGACGCAGAGCTTTAGTGATACCGGAAATCCCAAGACCACCGTCATCCCTGTTGACTCGGTGCCCTACACACTACGTGATCTCACGCCTGGTGCCACGTACTCGCTTCAACTCTTCACCGTACTGGACGCAAAAGAGAGCGTTGCTTATACCAGCAGGAATTTTACGACAAGTATATAAATATCTTGAGAGTTATAAAGTTATAAATGTTTCGTAAAGATCGATGTATCTAGCGTTGGGTTATTTGTAGAACCGAACACCCCGGGAAAGTTCATCGTCTGGTTCAGGAACGAGACGACGCTGCTGGTGCTATGGCAACCGCCTTATCCGGCCGGGATATACACACACTACAAAGTTAGCATAGATCCATCTGACGCGATAGAATCCGTTCTCTATGTGGAGAAGGAAGGCGAGCCACCTGGTCCTGCACAGGCAGCTTTCAAAGGACTTGTTCCAGGTCAGCTATTTGCTATCATGTAATCGTACGCGCATATTATGGAACTTTCAGACACACCAAATTCTATTACATGTTTCAAAATATATTACATTCCGTGAGAAATTAATCTTGAGCAGAAATTGTGTTTCAAGTTGCAAACAAGTAATTTTCATGTTGTTTGCGCATCAAAGTCAAATCAACTTCGTTCCCTCTTTCTAGACACACGAAACGGAGCTACCTGAAGTAGAATCGCAGAGAAAGTATGCATCTGCTGTAAATAGAGCAGTGCATGAGTTGCAAGACGAATAAATTTCACAAATTGTATCAATATTTATCTTTTCTAACATTAAGAACAAAATGAAGATCTATTTATTTAATAGAACGTAAACAGACTTGTCAAAGAAAGTTTCTTATTTTAGAGATTATAATTTATTTATAAATAACAGAATTAATTACGAAAGTACTCGTTTTATTAACTTGTGTATTAAATGTTAAATTTTGTTGTCTATATTTAATTTGCCTGATTATATAAACACGCAATGGAATTCGTTATCACAATTAGTATAGGTATGTGTTTCTTAGAAAGCAATAAAATTGTGCAATAGGAAAAAACCTGATGGCAAAAGATCGAAGAGAAACTACTTGATTCTGAAAAAAACGTTTTTCAAAATATAAAAATAAATTTATTACTCTTTTTAAAATAAAGTAAAAGTTGCGTTTTATTCCTCTAAATTGTTTGCATTTCCGGTTACAGGCAGAGCGTACAACATTTCCGTTCAGACCGTTTCCGAGGATGAAACGTCCGCGCCCACCACGGCCCAATATCGTACGGTACCACTGCGTCCACTCAACGTGACCTTCGACAAATCCTCCGTGACATCGACTTCCTTTCGTATGTTTTGGAACCCTCCCAACGGCACATCTGAGTTCGACAAGTATCAAATATCGCTCGGTAGTAATCGAAGGCTTGCGCCGGTTACGCGAAACCGGGACGACGAGAACAGATGGGAGTTCAAGGACTTGGAGCCCGGTAAAACATATCAAGTGGTGGTGAAGACGGTTTCTGGCAAAGTCACCAGTTGGCCGGCCAGCGGAGACGTTACTCTGAGTACGTGCTCATTGCTTATTCGTTAATATGTATAGTACTCGCTGAAAATAGCGCGCGCAATTATTTATTTACATTACAGCTGCATTGTTTCTTCATTCTTTGTTATATTTATAGAGCCGCTACCTGTTCACGACCTCAGGGCAGTGATCGATGAGAAAACTGGTATGGTAGAAGTCTCTTGGAGTCCAGAGAATTCAAGTACGCAGGATAGTTACAAGCTACAATATCATGAAGTGGAAACATCGATTGGCGGTGATAGTAACACTTTGACGACTGATAAAACAAAGGTGAGCGTATTGTTAAATGAGAAAAATCCTGTACAGCCTTCGTTTCTTTTATATATCTTTCTGACATAATTGTTAAATTGATAGGTCACGCTGGAAGCTCTGCTGCCAGGTAGAAATTATTCCATAATAATTCAAGCAATTAGCAATAAAGTCGAGTCGAACGAAACCGTCCTGTACCAAGCGACACGTCCTGCTAGTCCTGTAATTGAAGATCTGAAGCCTATTGAGAAGGGTTTAAATATTTCCTGGAAAAGCGACGTCAATTCTAAACAAGAGAAATTCGAAGTAACCCACAACAGAAATGATACTGGAGAGAGTGCAACCACTCTGACTACGGAGTCGCATATTGTCTTGGAAGATCTTTATCCTGGTGCAGCATATGAGGTCAAGGTCTTTGCCATTAGCCATGGACTTCGAAGCGAGCCGCACGATTACTTACAAGCCGTCTGTAAGTAATAAATTTAATTAGTTCCTTACGTTATTGTTTTTCATTCAACATCGTTCGTGGAAGTTTATTTAATTTATTAACGATTCATTGAATTATTTTTTAGTACCTCATCCACCGAAGAATCTCAGTATTGAAAAAGTCACGAGCAACACCGTTGTTGTGCATTGGGAAGCGCCGACGGATTCGATATTCACCGAATACTCCATCAGATATCGTACAGAAGATGACCCCAGGTGGGTCAAACTCCCCAGCGTGCGCGACACGGAAGCGGAAGTGGCGGATATGACGCCCGGCGAGAAGTATACTATCCAAGTGAACACCGTCAGTTACGGTGTCGAAAGTTTGTATCCGTTACAAGTGAATCACACAGTCAGTAAGTACATCGTAAATTATCACATAATTTTTTGGATAATGATAGTAACTGAAATGAACAGCGATTCGAAACTCAGACTTACAATGTATCTCCTTGTCATTTTAGGGCCTAATCCAGTTCTAAATATCACTCCGGTTATCGATTCTACCAATGTAACTCTTGAATGGCCGCGGCCTGAGGGTCGTATTGAGACCTACGTCATAAGATGGTGGCCAGTGGAGAACCCAGAGGATTCCAGGACGAAGAACGTCAGCGAGACCAACGATGTACCCGATATCAGTTTCGAAGAGAACGCTGTGCAAACCGAGAGGATTCTGGTGAGCGACCTGATGCCTGGAGTACAGTACTTCTTCGTCGTCTACACGATCTCGTATGATCTAGTCAGCGACATCACCAATTTAACCACGAGAACGAGTGAGTACATCAGCTTCACTTGTCAGCGATGATGAGCGAAGTTATATTAATCCATTATTTTCCGCTGTTTAACAGCTAATTAACAAATTTCGCATGAATGCTAACGGATATACGACATCCTAACTGCCAGTTATTAATCTTACTCATATTATCATGTGCTTTCCACTACATATTTCTACTACATTCGTTTGTCAGAATTTTGTATCTACTTAACGATTTCGTTCGAAGTCTGACGGGCAGTTAAGGACGTGATTAAGATCATGGTAGGTCGACTGGTAACTAGGCAAACAAAAACGAAACTTTGAAATCTAGTGCCCCTGATTCAGTCCGAAGTCGTCGTAGTGGTCGATCGGGATCAACCAGGATCATTGACGTTAAGATATACACCGACGCCGATTCAGTCTTCAAGGTTCAATCTATACCGGTTCAGGATTAGCGATGAGAATAACACCACGAAGGAGCGTATGGTGGATGACGTTGACACCAAGGTTTCATTTGTTGGATTAACACCTGGCAGACTGTACAACGTAACTGTTTGGACAGTAAGCGATAATGTGGAGAGCAGACCTCTCCTCCGGCAAGACCGACTCTGTGAGTATTTACGCGGTACAGCGTATGTTAAAACAATTCTCGAAGATTAAACGCTAATGTAATTGATACACGAGTGAACGTTGCATTTGCTTAAATTGTTGTTGTAAAGTAAAAAGGGATGGAATTTTTTATTCCGTATCTAACGTAACGTACTTAAAGGCCGTACGAATTTATAATACAAATAGTCCACTTAAAAGCGTGGTACCATTATATTTTCTCTTTTAAAATACTATACCTGCGTATTGTTTTGTGATATAACATCATAATTATTTTAATGATAACTGTGAAAAGATCGCAGTGAAGGAATTAAATAAAAATAATAATATGACATTATAACATTTCGTACTTTCTTTCATATCGACAATATTTCTATAGCAGCCCTAATATTTACTTAATAGATGTTTATATGCGCAAATAAAAATCTTCTTTTAATATTTACGTAAAAACGATCAGGCACTCGTTTTATACTATAACTTTTTATTAGCTCGAAGATAAATATGATTTTTAGATCCTGAACCGATCACTGCGATCCACGCGATTGACGTAAATGATACGAGGATCACCTTGACCTGGGACATCCCGCACGGAGAGTATGATACTTTTGAAGTACAGTACATAAATACGGAAGGAAACTATATCCAAAATATAACCTCGGTCAACGTGATTACCATCTTTGATCTGAAGCCGCATAGAAATTATACGTTCACATTGGTTGTACGTTCGGGCACAGAATCCTCTTACTTGAGAGTCTCAAATCCGCTCAGCGCCAGTTTCACCACCAGCGAATCGTATCCAGGAAAAGTGGAGAAGTTTCATCCTATCGACATTCAACCGAGTGACATCAGCTTCGTATGGTCTCTGCCCAGCCAGGAGCAAAATGGCATCATTAGAAAATTCAGCATCACTTACGGTTTAGAAGTAAGATTCATTTTTAAATATGAGAGATTTGCGTTTACATACAACTTGAAAAAAATTCGGTTTGAATGTACACCTTTGACTGAAAATTGTTATTTTCCATCTTATTATTGTTTGTCTTAATACACGTTATTGCGATAAATATTACCACAGAAACGCGGTGACAATTTGTCACAACGATTATAATCGTTGCCACGATTATAATCATTGCCAGTACACTCGATTAAATTCTTAATTGAATTGAAAAAAAATACCTGAAACGTATCGTAACGGATGAAGCTATTTCGTATTTCTTCATGCGGTGAAAAATATGTTATGCAACGCTTTAAATTACACGGATGTTTTCTCGCGGTTCCACTAGGGTTCGACTCACACCCAGATGCAGGACTTCAGGCCGAACGAGTTTCGTGGTGTTATCAAGTCTCTCATACCTGGCAAGACCTATATCTTCCGGATTCAAGCGGAGACAAAGATCGGCTTTGGTCCTGAGGTGAGCTGGAAGCAGAAGATGCCGATATTGGCGCCGCCGAAGCCATCCACGCAAGTGGTGCCAACCGAAGTCTGTAGAAGTAGCACGACAATCCAAATTAGATTCAGGAAAAACTACTTCAGCGAGCAGAATGGCGCGGTCACGTCGTACAGTATCATCGTTGCCGAAGACGATAGCAAGAACGCTTCTGGACTGGAGATGCCCAGTTGGAGGGATGTCCAGGCCTACAGCATTTGGCCACCCTATCAGGTAAACTTTGTTTTTCATTTATTACATAGTCTCGATAGTCGTAATTACGAAGCATGCTGATTTAATTGAGATAAAGTAGTTTTTTCACAAGATTAAAATATTCAGACATCGTATCGAATTTCAAACTATTCTTAAGATGAACGAATATACGGCAGATTGTAAAATATTATGTGAAATAAATATTTTAAAACTGACGCAGGATTAAATTTAAATAACAAAATAGATGCGCGCTAAAATGGTTTTATTGCAAAATTAACAGCGTCATTCTCGATTCAATGCATACAAAATATGCCAAGAGAATAGGCAGTAAAAAGAATCGTTTAAAATAATTAATGCAGCAGATTATGACACGCTGTACTTATTGACTTGCAAGATCATGGACAATTGTCGTAAAATGTATGCGTTATGACGTAGATTCGCAAACACATATAAACGGCCCGCGAGCTGCGAACAGAGTGTTATGTGCGGAATGAAGGATACGTGTAATCTAGTTGCGATCTGAAACTGCAATGACGCAGATGTGGTCACACCGTGACATGGACATTTTAAAAAGTTAAATCGTAGAATTGTATTTAACTGTCTACACGTTGTTGTGATCGCGGAGAGAAAAGCAGTGCGTGTGTGTAAACCGAATTTAATAAAATTTAAAAAAGGATGGTGCACTCTGAATTTACGAAACTTTAAATGTATTTTAATTCGACTTCTTTATAGCATTAATTATTACCAGACCTCGAGTTCTTATTTATTCTCTCACTTATTTGAAAATAATGTACAAAATTATAAAAATGTAATACAGATACAGATTGTATCAACTTTGAAAATTACGGATTGTTCAACGGATATTAAGCTAATCGTCTGCGGTCTCTTATGGCCGATTCTTCGTATTCTTCGATATTACCAATGTTAACGTTCTATTAAAGAAACTGCGTAGCAAAGTAAAAGTAAAGTTTATCATGGAATGTATGGCACCGAAAATTGTGATCAAATTTTAGTTATGAAATTCAGAAGCTATGAACATGGATATTCTGAACGGCTTAATTTCGAACACCAAGAAGATGATTATGCAGGTGTTTATAAAAACGATATACATATACGCGTTCTGTACATATATAGATAAATTCGTAATCATAAAAAGGTAGTTGTCTCATTTAGATATTTTATTTTGATTTTTAGCAAAACTTAATAAAAACAAGCTTTACGATAAATAAACTAAGAAAACGATTGATTTAATTAACACTTAAAGAGAAATTGTATCAATTATTATTATATTATTTACTAGATTATACAATGATATAACGGAATAGAGATGTATAATGTCTATCTATTATTTCAACGTAACTATCAAGCCACTGTTAATTATTTTACAATAATATACATATTTTGTTGTAATAAAATTTGTAGGTAATGGAACCATATTACCCTTTCAAAAATGGATCTGTAGAGGACTTTACGATCGGTTCCGAGAACTGCGACAACAAAATTGGATACTGTAATGGACCGTTGAAGTCAGGATCTACTTATCGGGTGAAAGTGCGCGCGTTTACAGCACCGGACAAATTTACGGACACCAGCTACAGCTTCCCCATTCAAACAGGTGAGAGCGATCGCGTGAAAAGTTTTAAGACATGAGAAAAATCGCGTGCCATTAACGCATCTGATGTCTCGCTCTTTCACTCTCTCTCTTTCTCTCTCTCTTTTATGAAGTAGTGCAAACTTAAGTACATGTGAGTTTGTAGAAATAATAATTATATGTAGAAATAATATATGTAATAACGATTCATCCGATGCGATAACTGGTTTATAAAATAGAGGCACACTGCGCATGTAGTGAAAGCCTCGCTAAATTCATGCCTCGTTATTTCGTGTACATGTCTGCCCAAGGATTGCTGCTGGCAGGTAAGATTTTAAAATGGAAGTTCAAAGCTTTATCCACGCCGCGTGATATATAAGTGTGACTCTTCTTTTTAACAAACGAACGTATCTAATGCGATTATTCTTGACGATTGTCTGACTCATTGTAACACTCAAAATTCACTGTGCGTGTCGAACAGATAAGGACAACACGGCCATCATAGTCGGTGTCACCGTCGCCATAGCCTTGCTACTGTTTCTATTGGGCATCGGGCTGTTTATGCGAAGGAGAAGAAGCCAGGGTCGCAAAACAACAGAAACCAGGGCAACCGATAATTTATCATTGCCGGATAGCGTTATTGAGACTAGGTGCCAAGAAATTACAATATTTCATCTCGATTTCACCAAATTGAGATTTTAACAATAAGTTTGCACGAAGATCATGAAATACATTTAGTTTTCAAGAAATACAGATATTAAAAAATTTTAAATTTTAGTTATCGAATTGTCGATTAACTTAAAGTCAATCTTTTTTAAAATTTACATACAATTTCTTTTGTACCTTTTTTTAATATTATGATCAAACGTTAGATTAATATTTTGTTAAGATATAATTAATTGAAGACTACGAACTTGTTATTTAGTCTACAAAGATTAATTCGCAAGAGATTAATTTTAATTGTTACAATAAAAAAAGAGACATTTCTGTAGCTTGTGTTGGAAGAAAATTTGTATTAGAAATGTTTTTAAAATCACAATGTGTAATATTTTCAATAAGATAAATATTATTTATGATATTTATTGTTACATTCAGCCGGCCCATCAAAGTCGAAGATTTTGCCGAGCACTATCGCACTATGTCGGCGGACTCCGATTTCCGATTTTCGGAAGAGTTTGAAGAATTGAAGCACGTCGGAAGAGATCAACCGTGCACTGCGGCGGATTTGCCTTGTAACAGGCCGAAAAATCGCTTCACGAATATTCTTCCATACGATCACAGTAGATTCAAGCTTCAACCTGTCGATGATGAAGAGGGGTCCGATTACATCAATGCCAATTACGTTCCGGTACATAAAAACTAATTTCTTTTAAAACTATTTAAGCAGTTAAATATTTAAAATCATTTAATTTTTATGTTCGAACGAGAACAATTCCTTTAATATTTTTTTTTTTATGGCACAATAGGGTCACAATTCGCCACGGGAGTTTATTGTGACTCAAGGACCGTTGCATTCGACTCGCGACGATTTCTGGCGAATGGTATGGGAGAGCAACAGCAGGGCGATTGTAATGCTAACGAGATGCATTGAGAAAGGCAGAGAAAAGTGCGATCACTATTGGCCGATGGACACCTTGCCGGTTTATTATGGAGATATCTGCGTCACGATACTCAACGAGACGCATTATCCGGATTGGAGTATCACCGAATTTATGTTGTGCAGAGTGAGTGATTGCTTGTTTTATCAAACTTTTCTTGCAAATGTATAATTTATCAGGTGGCTGAATTTTCCGATCCTCCGACTGAGATAAAAAATAATGTGCCGCAGGGTGATGTGAAGAGAGTGATACAACACTTCCACTTCACTACCTGGCCAGATTTCGGCGTTCCCAGTCCACCGCAAACTTTGGCGAGGTTCGTGCGTGCGTTTAGGGAACGAGTCAGGCCCGATCAGCGGCCTATAGTCGTTCATTGCAGCGCCGGCGTAGGTCGTAGTGGCACCTTCATCACCTTAGATAGAATACTGCAGCAAATTCTCGTATCGAAGTACGTCGATATCTTCGGGATTGTCTGGGCGATGAGGAAAGAGCGGGTCTGGATGGTTCAGACGGAGCAGCAGTATATCTGCATCCATCAATGTCTCTTGGCCGTTCTGGAGGGACAGGATACCACTGGACCACCACGAGAAATTCATGACAATCAGGGATTCGAAGGTACACCCTATAATTCTATTACCTTCACAAGATATTCTGAATTAATTGAGACAATTGCGGAACAAGTTGGGTGATCAATCACGAAGTGCGACTTAGAGAATGCGTCACGATGGGTAATCGAAATGTCAATTGTTGAAAATTTGAAGGGAATCGATCGGTAGTGCATGTATTGGAAGGGGTTCTAAATGGAATATTTGTAATTTGTCACTTGTTTCCTCGTACTGAGTTTTCCCTTGCACGGAAATAAGTTAAATATGTTATCGGAAATATTATTATTAATAAAATGGTATTGATGAAAAGCGGAATATTTTATAAAGGGCGAAAAAATATATCAAGAACAAATTAGTTGATTATTTATGGGTGCAGGCGGTGGTGATGGTTATAAGCACACGTTAATTTATCCTGTAATTGAAAACAATAATGGTGTCAAAACCCTTTTTGTAAAACGTTATCACTTCCTCCGCCTGGTAACTCACACCCTCCCTTTCTGCAATTTTTTGCGACCTTTGTATTCAGGCAAAAATCGAAGCTCGGTCGAAAGCACTAAGAGTCCTGCCGAGGCTGAGAAGGAGAGGTGACCTTCGAACAGCGACTCCTGCATCGAGGGTAATTTCGATCGTTGCTTTTCTTTTTCCCTGCATGAATCTACATGTTACACATGCTACCAAATACCGAATTTGTATACTAATTATGTACGTTGCATGTGAGAACAAAATAACAATATGTGTTTCATTAAACACTGATGGTGTGTTTTGTGGTGAGAATGCTTGACTGTGTTTACACCATTTAGTTACTACTTAATTTTCCGTACAAATTTCAGCGGAATAATCGCAATGATCAAAATGATTAATTGCCAAGAAAATTAATTTATAACAGATTTTTTTTCTAATTTTGTCTTATCAATATGTTAGATATTAATATTTTGTCTTGCTCAAACTGAAGTTTATCATGCGCAATTTGTCACTACATGATTTTTTTCTAATTAGCAAACCAAGTATAGAATATATTCAAATGTTTTTTCGAAAAATTTATTTAAAATAAAAAAGTGTATTTTTATTAAATTTTATTAATAATTTGATAAAATAATATCGATTTGTTTGCATTCACAAAAATAATAAATGTAGCTTGCATCGAGCATGATCGCAATGTATATGACAAACAGCAATTATCATAATTCGAATTATTCCTAATTAAGTATCTTTTTCAGATGACGAAGGGATAGCCGAGTCAGGGATGTGATGGTTCGATTGCTGGTTAGGCGTAACGATTGATAGCGACAAGAGCGAATCTCGTTTTCCAAAGGTGCTTGAATCCCCAGGATTTTTCAAGTTTCCTTGGAAAAGAAAAATATAAAAACAGAGAGATAACAGTCCAAATCAGGCAAAGACGACAGCGAACAACGTAACAATAATCATTTGGACAATTAAGTCGCGTGCGATAGGATAATCAATGGAAGATATCTCCTGGAAGAATCGTTTTAGCGTTAAGCAACGAACGAACACGTGTCTTCATTTCTCTGTCGGCTACATATCGAAATTAAGCGTGTTCAATCAGTGATACGCGTTAGAATAGTTTCACGACTAAGATAATTATCAGGAAAGTGTAAAAAGAGTGCCGAAAAGGGCAATAACTGAAGGGGACGTGAAAAAAAAACGATGTCAAGCCGAATATGCTGCCAAGTGTGGGATTACGAATCAAATGCATGCGCGATGTTTTATACGCGTCATGCAACGGTCGGAGAGATTACGTTTTTATTAATATATAATTCATGTCTACATATCTATATAAGTAGCAGAAAACTGATAAGGCGCGCGATATTAATAGATGTAGATCGTATGTTATAACGAGTGCAGAGATGCATATTCCACTGGTTGTGTCACGATGAGGCCTCGGACCACATCGCATCCGCAATGAGTCTATCGAACATCTTTGTTAAGTCGCAATATGTAAGACAGATAGCATTTTAGATCGATTGGATTGCGCAGACATTGCGAACTGGCGTCTTGGTTCCTCTCCCGATGCAAACATTCTTCTGAGATTACCACCAATAACACTTTGTTCATATTTCGTGTTCTATTCGAATGGACGCGTAAAAGATTATCCTACGTTCTCTTAATTATTTTTTCCAGAATTAACGTAAATGCGGTCGGATAAAACTTAAAAGCGAATCCTTGCAAAAGCGAGACGCAAAGTACTCGACGATCACGCTGATTGAGTTATCGTTCGGAATGACGAGCCGTCCGTCCAAGAGCCATATGCGTGCTAGACGATGATTTGATAAATAATAATGTTAATATTAAAGCGAATTAACTAGGGAGAAAAAGATTCGGAAGGACGAGCGGGTGTAGGTGTGCGGAGCTTTTAATCGATTCTTCTTTCTGAGATGAGCGAAACGATATCAGTGGGAACAAGAAACTCGCATTTTCGTAGAAGCCATATCATTTTTTGGAAGGAGTCAGAGTATGTGTGTATATCTGCGTATGCGTGTAGATGTGTGCGCGCGTGTATGTAAACTAAATAATCGAGGGATAATCGATTAACGTTATGCATTAGCCTCTCTTATCATCGCAAATCGCGATCGCCGTTGAAAAGCAATAGAACTTCGTAGATATAGGTAACCGTCACATCGCGATAATCCCTAGTTCCAGATTAGCTTCAGATAGATAGACCTTAATTTTACAATTCGTAGTTGAGCCTCAACGGTGACCATTCACAAGACATATATAGAAAAATCGAATAATCATTTCCAGTATTTAATGTCGCTTTTGCGGTGATATACAAATACATGTACTTAATTTTGTATTCTCGATAAGAGTGTGACAAAACGTAACTGATTGCACGACGTAGGCAAACTTAGTTTCACAATCAGGGTTAGTTGAATTTCCTCCGTCATTCTTCTAAAAGATTAAATTTAAAGAAAAATGGGAGAAAGAATTTCGTGTTCATCGATTCGATGCTGTATTTTTGGATGAGCATTTTTACACCGGTCACATTGTGAACCGCGAATCTACAAACGATTGCAGGGGCTGTTGAAAATTTACATTCTGCAGTATAAGCGCTACCCAGGGTTTATATTAATCCGCTATTCGCTTATGAACACCAATGACATGTGTGTAATAATGAAAAAAATTGGAATAGTTAATGTGAGACAGTTATATATTTTAAATGAAATTTTTTCGAAAGAGTGCGATACTTTTAATATTTTTAAATTGTTTAAGGCGGATTAATAAAAATTCTGCGTGATTCATCGAAATTATCTGTATGATAATCTTATATAACTGTACGTATGCACGTTGATAGTAATTGTGCTGTTGATATGCAGATCGCTATCGATGTCAGATTATTCGCGAAAGATGCGGAGAAAACATATTAGAGACACGAGGCGAGCGATACCGAATTCTAGCAATTCCGCTTCAATCCCTGTCGCTTGTATTGCTTATCTAAAAAATTTAGGAAAAGAAGAAAGAGCATTAAAATGCTATTATTTTGAAATAATTCGACGGTCGATGATCCTACTTAATACTCAAACAAGAGTTTTCTAGCTAGAGAGACAATTTTTTTAATTATATTTTTGCGCGACATAAATATTAACGTTTTGTTTCGCGAGATATAAATTTATATACCGATATCTGTATTGCAGCTTTTTGTTTTTATATGTTTAATTTAAGATCTGATCTACTGGACAGAAGGTTGTATTTTACCTAACGATAACATAATGTTGACGTTATTGAACATGTGAAGTATGAACGAATTCATATCTTGTACATTTCCTCACGCTATAATATAGCGTACTTGCAATTCCTAGTTAAATAGATGATTATTTATAATTAGATCTTTGTATTAACAACTGAGCTCAAATATTTTCTATTTTTTGTTATCGTTGTATCAAATATACTCTTTTTAAATTATAGACTACGATTTAAAAACTATTATATGACTTTAAATTAGAAACTTATGATTATTTATCTATACTTAACGTTAAAAAATTTTTCGTAAAAATAATAATTAGTTTAGAGGGTTATTATTTGCAATAACGTCATCAATATTAAACATTATCTTTCGTTTTATTAATTGATCTAAAATTCTTCACAATAATGTACTCGGACATTAATTGTGTAGTATAAGAAAGCAGTGGATGTTCTTTTTAAAAAATGGGGACAGATTATTAATTACAAACAAGAAATAACGTTATATCTCACATTTAAATGCGCAGACAAATCTGCATGTGAATAACTCGCAAAGAATCCAGCAATTTTGTGCAATCGCTGTTCTTTCATAGTTAAAGTATCATAGGATTTGTTAGGTTCTAACCTAGAGACAAAGTTAAGAACGGGAATAACGCGCATTGAATTCTAATCCATCAAATTTACAAATAGTTTAGCGCTTGGACTATTTTGCATTATTTTATTCTGTGATAAATCATGATCGTTGATCAAAGACGAAGAACAAAAGATTGATCCGGCACAAATGCGGTAGGTCTTCCCAAACGAATTAATAATGAAGTCGTTTTTACCGCTCGCGTTAATACGTGCCAATCGTTGCTGTTGAATCAATCATTGACATCGAGATCCGAAAACTTGCGGGACGAGATGTTAATGTACCGCGTGCCGAAGCGTACGTCTGCAGAACGACATTGTATATAATTTTATATTAAGATCGAGAATTTTTTATGTGTCGGATTTATATCCACGAATAGTCGCCCTCAAAAGCGATTCTCTGTGAAGAATAGCGGCAATACTGTACGAGGGAAATTTACTCCGAGCGTATCGATCACGAGATACGCGTATCGATACTCTTTTCGACCGAGATACCTGACGGCGAAGTCATGTGAGCGCGTCATCATAACGACTCGATACAGGGCGATACGGAACAAGTATCCGCGACAAGTACTTGATGCAAGCAAAAAACGAGAGGGGAAATCGTTGCTTCCGTAGTTTCGCTGCAATTTTTCACGAGAAATCGACAAGTTTACACAAGCGCATAGGTAGGTCTATAATCCCTTTTGTAAATACATTTTATACCGGCTGCGAGGACGGTTCGTTGCACGAGGGTGGCTTCACCGAATAAAGAATCTCATCCTCACTTCATCCCTCGCAACGACACGGCTCGCAAATTTACTCATACAGTTATTTCTGTCACGTAACATCGTAATACATATTAGTATGTATCTGAGAATTTGTACAACACGTGCGAAGCACGAAGAGACACGGGCTGTCTCGCAATATCACATTATACAAGCATGCGAAAAAGAAGGGACACGCTTGCATAATAAACGTGGCTCTTCCAGTAATTTCTCTCTTTTCTCTTTGTCTCCATTTTGTATCCCTCTCATTTTGCATCCTCACCATCAACTATCGGTACATAATAAGTAGATAAAACGTAAGAAAATTATGTAAAAAGATTTTTTTAGTAAATTATATTTATTTTTTATTTTGAATATATAATAGAGTTGTTTCCATTTAATATTTCGGCGTATTAAATAATTTTTAAAAAATTTTATCACAAATGAAGTCAATATTAATATCTACAAATGTTTCTCGAGTTGAACAATGTCCTGGGCCGATTCTCTAGATGCTAATGACGTCTACATAATGACGCCTACATTATGTTCTCTTCGAATTTAATGGCACTTCTGATGGCAATTCTAATGAAGAATTAAGTTTGTTGCGCTTATGTGCATCGACGGGCTTAGTGGTAGTTCCGCTTATGGGACGACCTACAATTAATGTGTATTATTAAATTCTTATTTCAAAATATATAAAATTATATTTAAAGCGTAAGCGATTTATGTTGCATTAAACTGCTTAACGTAAAATCGGCTTTTTATAATTTAAAAAAACCTAACAATATTATAAATGTTGCAGCAATGCTTCCGATAAAGTAAAGAGGCTAAAGTTTGCTTAAAAGGAAAGTATTTAGTCTGCACTCTAAAGAGTCATCGATTAAAGTCCACGGAGGTCTCGACGACGAGTCACGCCTGTCCACTAATAAAGATTCGCTTCACAAGTTTCTTTGAATCTTTACTTTCCTCTCAGTTGGCTAAGCATTCTGGAGAAAATTCCACGCCCGGTGTCCGCCGTAGGTTTATCGATAATTCCATTGTCCTCGTTATGAGGATGCCTACGTAGTATACGACTCAGCGATCCTGCCCGGGGATGGACAAAAAGTTTCCTAGGCGAACCACCTTTGTCGACAAAGTTAAGCATCCTTCCCAGAGAGTTTGTCTTTTCTTTCCTCGATGCTTTTTCGTCATAATCATCGACTTTTGTCACATTCTAAATAGAAGAGCCATTGACACTAATCGTATAAATCATTAGAACTTTTTACGCCTACTTATTAAAGTTACATATAAGAATAACGTCATTATAAAACTAATTTATTATATTAAATATCAAATTATTTTTAACAGTAATTAACATGGAATCTTGATTAATTATTGCTATTTTATGATCAAATCTACAGCAGTTATTACATTGACATGCATTTCATTGGCTCTAATTAAATAATCAACATTACGTTTGTTGTAGGCTAACGAAATTACCGGTAAATTTAGAGATAAATTAGATTGTTAGAAAAATCTTTCATATTATTTAGTAAACACGGTTCAATTATTAACACAAACAGCAATAAACTCGATACATTAATTGTTTAATTCAGAACTAATTAAATTTCTTAAACGATCAATTATTTAGCGAAACAAGTTATTCAAAATAAAAAAAGATTATCAATCAAATTTATTTCTTTATAAGTTTATTTTCAAGAAGTTAATAAAAAACACGCAAGACTTTCGAAGTAATCGATTACAGATACGAAACGCGAAGCGCATAACGTGTAGGCACACGAAACTTATTAAGACAACACGTTCATGTGGTTATACGTAGTCGGTATGTGTTACAATTCGTTTTCACTATTCTGACATTCTTAGGGGATTAAAACTTTCTTCATATATCATGCGATATTACTAAAGCTCGCATACGCCTCCAGATGCACCATCTTACGTTTGTGAAACATGACGCCCCGAGGATTCAAATCACTTACGGTGTCCAAGCCCAAACATGATCTTCCCACGGCAGACGTACGCGCCCTAAACATCTTCCCCATTCTATCCAGCGTGACGCTCTTCAACCTCCTGACATCTTGCCTAACGGCTTCAGTCCTCGACGTCGTTCGAGATAATTCCGGTGAATCCGGTGATTCCCTTGATCCTGATAAGATGCTTCGCCGAGCGTTAGCAGAATCTGTCGTCGTTTTGGAAACTATAATATATTTTACTTTATAAAATGTAGTGTTTCTTACATTAATTATGGCATCAGTTATATTAATAAACAAATTCTGCAAAAGAGAGATCGATATATACATATATATATATAATATATTGATATTTTTTCTATAGATAATCGGTGACCATTTGTTAGTGTTTATAATATTATGAAATATAATCCTCAACATCACATACAAACACAAACACAAATGTACAATGCAATATCAACACGTATACAATCGGTCGCAATTCGCGGTTTATATCTTTCTAATTAAACCATCGTTCTGTATATCGCGATTGGCCAATCGATCGATATCTAGTCCGCCTATATCACATAGCAATAAATACGGCGGTAATAAATACAAATGAGTCTCGCGATTGAAACACGATTCGCGGATGCAGGTTTATATGCAACACCAATATAATTTCTTGAGAGGAAAGATCAAACGAAAGTAATCTCATTCGTCACCGCGACCGAACTGTAGGTCAGGGAAATTACACTTGCATGGTCGGACAGACACGTTTTTTATCGAGCCGCAGATGGTGCAAAGAAATAAATCACGGAATAACTCCTTCAAAGTTTCATATCGAGTACGAATGCGGAAATTTCAAACCGAATCTCGTTTTCCGAGCCAACATTTTCCGCGATCTTATCTCTCTATTCTTCTCGCAAAACGTTACCCCGGCGCGCACATATGTGTTTTTCATCGCTGCACAAAGAGCAGCGAGAAAAGAAAATTACATGAACTCTGCGTATGCAACGTATTAATGATACCGTTAAATTTGATCTTTGTTTTGACGAATGCGCGACGACGGACGTATCATTCGTATCAATACGGAGTGTCGATTAAAATAAACAGATGACTAGATGAATTCAAACGAGTTGGATGATAATTTCTCAATGTATTTTAAGTGAAATGAAATTAAAAACACACATCGGAGTTGAGAGAGGTCGATTGCTACGCGAGAAAAAGATATGCGTATGCATTTCAAGATTATTCGTGGTTGCCTATAATTATTTTCACTCAATATTTCTGTACGTGTAGAGAAAGAGAGAAGAAACTAGAGAGAGCATTGTGAGTTGCATATGAAAGGAAAGTAATTAATTATAATAATAGATATGTTATAATTTTACAAACAATATAAATTATTTAGTCGTTTTTTCTCGTCTTGTAAACAGAAATATTAAAATTAATAAAGTGTTTTTAATTCGGGCTATGCTTTAATCATAAATTAATTAATTAAAAGCACACAGCTGATTCCTCATACTCTCGTGTATGTCCGAGATTATTTGGAAAATTAGTACGCGACAAATATGCAGCATGAAAGTTGGAAATTGATTGACTCACTCGGAGATAGCCAGGATTCACCGAGCTCGGCCTCGTTGATTACTTCCTGTTTTACTAATGTTCTGTCATTTTCTTCGTGATGTGCGCTATTAACGTCAACCTAATACATATGTGTTAATGAAATTTCGTTTCATATCCGGATTTTGATATATTTAATTAACAACCGTCGAAATGAATTAGCAAAGTCGACTCGACTTAATCGAATTACACGAAATACACAATTCGAACAGATTTGAGCAGGGCATAACTAACCTGATGCTGTGATTGATCTTTCTCGCAAATCTCTGCATTCGACTCGTTCATCAGCATCGCGTATCCGAGAGGTAATTTTTAGCTGCCGCGGGCGTAATTAATCCTCGATTCCTGATGCATGAATTTCCGAGCGAACGTTGATACGGGCGCGTGGGCAGCGCGCGACATGCAATCTAACATTAAGCGCGATATTGGCATACGCAAGTCACAAGCAATAATCGCAGACAATTTATTGATTATCGCGACTCGTCATTCCGATGCGGAAGATCGCATTTGTGAGACCGTCTCATTTCCATCAGAAAGCGAAGTGCTTCCTCGACGGAATCAAGGAGCTTACGGATATTTCGACCCAAGTATCTTGACAATTTTTGCAAAAGCCGGCGCGCGAGTAAGATATTGAATTTCAATCAAATGAAAGAACGCGGGCCCGTACGCAGACGTTTTCACATCTATTGGATGACAGATTCGGTTTACGGTTTTACGATTCACCATTGAAACCTTTCGTTTCACGGAAACGGGATCCTCAGCAACAGGAGGGACGGCCCTATTCTTTATCGAGTATCATCGAGCATGATGGGTGTCTTCACATTCCGCGATGAAACGCATCCGTTAGGTTGGTTAGGTCGTCGACGTAAATTAAGAAACGGACAACTTTCGTCGATATTGCTCGGAGTTAATTACTTATACCGCTGAATATTTCCGCGTTCCTGCGAATTAATAATGGCGAAGCTAGCGGCGGACCCAAATAATTGCTCATTTGTTTTGTTACCGGATAAACACGCGGCAACCAATCTGATTCGCTTGCAAAGCGGGTGTGACCTCAATTTATGTCGCGCAAATATA